CCGGGCCGTGACCCTCCTGCCCCTCCTGGCTCTGCCAACACGGGCTTTGCCTCTTTCTTGACCATGCCTCAGGCCACCATCCGTCACGCCAGAGCTCCAGGCCAAGCGTCCCCTTCCAGGGCTGCTCCTGCTCCCACTCTCCCTCCAGCCCCTTCCCCCGGAGCCTCGGAGCACAAGTGGGACGTGATGCTGGGCTGCTCCCCTTGGGGTGCCTCAAAGGGGCACGGCCTGCGCAGGGGTGACTGGACACTTAACTCTTGGGTGACACCACCTTCTGATGCGTTTCCTTTCGTTTGGATGCAAGATTAACACAAACTAAGGGATAAGGGAGAACAAGGTTTTGAAGCTGCGGGGATGGATGAGGTGTGGCCCTGGGACGGTGCCCGAAAGCGCTGTGTGCTGTGAGGGCAGAGGTGTTGGACTCTCGTTCGTTCTGGCCCTGGGGGCTTGTGCTTCTTGAGCCTCTTGCTCCTGTGGTTCTGGGGAAACCCGCTGCAGCAGCCCCTGTGGTGGTTCAGTGCTGCAGAGCCCAGCGCCCCTCCCGGAGACACGCACAGTGTGTGTGACCCCAAGCCAGGGAACTAAAATCTGTGCAGCTCTTACACTGACACCTTCGTTTTCCTCCTCCGTGCATTTCACTGGGCCTTTGGGTTGGGCTGTTCTAGTCAGCTGCCAGCACCGCCCCCCAGGGCTGGGTTTGGGGCAGGCTGTGACATTCGTTCCTCAGGATCCCCCCGTGGCCGGTCACTTGTGGTCCCTGCGGGCAGGTTTGTGGGAGCACAGCTCGAGCTCCCTCCGACCTCCTTAGCGTTCCCTGCCTGCCAGGCCTTTTCCTCGCTCCACATGTCAACTCTTGGTGCCGCTGAGCCCTCGCAAGGCTGCAAGAAATGGGGATGTGTGACCTCACTCCGGCCTCGCGGGAGCAGGTGGAGGTGAGGAGACCCCCGGGCTGGAGGCAGCAGCTCCTGACCCGGCACAGGAGCCCCCTGACCTGGGAGCGGGGGGACGCCACCGTGGGGCAGAGCTCTCCCAAGGTGTGTGCACACAGAGCCACCACCTTCCCCAGAAATCCCCTGGCGCCCTCTCCTCCTCCCCTCTGGCATCCCCGATGTCGCCGCTGGTTTGTTACCCAAGCGCGGTGAGCGGGGCTGACCTTGCTGGGGAAGGTTGTGCATTGCTGTGCACCGTGATTCCACAGTTAGAGACGCTGGCTCCAAGTTACCCGTGCGTGGAAGTTAAAAGCTGAGACATCTCTTAGATGAACCGTCAGCTTCACTTGATTTTGTTTTCTCCTTTACCACTTTCAAACACTGGTTGAGATGTTTGAGGCAAGTGTTGTGTTCTAGTTTTAAAATAGTTTGCTTTTAAATCTTTTCTTCATTCTCCGTGTAGCGGGGGCTGCCCAGCCTCTCTGAACTTGGGTTTAACAATGTTTGTTGATTGCAGTGTTACCTGGATTGAGACTAAAAGTAACTTTTTTAAAACAAAACGATTCTTGCGAATAAACAGGGAAGATGTTTCGCTGCTGCTCAGCTTGCTTCTTTCTCTGGTTTCAGCTGCAGGACCGTTCCTGATGTGTGAGGGTTGGAAATCCTCCCTCATTGCCCTCGGCAGGCGATGCCCGACCAGGGGCTGCCTTTGCTCCGGCAGCGGGTGCTGGGTCAGCCGGGAGCTGGTCTGACCGACGGCCGAGCCTGCTCCTTGCTCAGCGACCTCCACGTGTTGATGGTTCTGCTGCGCGTCGGGAGTGGGAGAGGCCGAGCCTTGCGCTGCAGGGCCCTGCGCGGGCATTTTGACCCCCGGGTTGTTTATGTGCCTTGGCCTTAGCCCAGCCATAACGAGCTTCTGCTGCTTGCGGTCGTTTTTCAGGGGCTCTTGCCCCTGGTCTCCTGCTGCCCAGGTGTGGAGCCCCCTGCCCTGCCCGGGGCTGCTCAGGCAGGGTCTCACTCGGTGTCCCTGGGAAGCAAACCAGCAGCCTTGGGGCTGAAGGTGCACCCACACCTGGGATAATGGTACCTCTAATGCAGCAGAGGAGCATTTGTTCATTAGCAGAGTCCTTGACAGAGATTAAGGAGGCTGCCCAGCTGTCACAGTGCCTGGCTCCTGTAGGGAACGCACGTTAGCACCACAGCAGCCAGAAGGGACCTGATGGCACCATGGGGGACGTTATTTTCAGGGAGGAGACTCACCTTCAGGGCTGCTTTTCTGTCCGGGCGCATCTCGCGCAGTCCAGGGACTGTGCTGGGAGTTCACGCTGCTCAATGTCACCTCAGGGCAGGAGAAGCCGAATCTGCTGGGCTCCCCAGTCAGGGCGTCTGCCCACAAG